GCCCTGGCCCTGGCAGCTTGGGGACCATGCAGGCCGTGCGCCCACACTCCCGGCAGGGTGAAGGACGGAGAAGGGATTGTGTTGTGGCCGCTGGGGATGCCTTCTGCTCTCTGTCTCTGTCTCTGTCTCTTTTTGGTGAGCACGCATGCCCTCTGACTTAAACAAACACAAGAAAAGCAAGTGAGAAGCCCCGGCCTGAGCGTCCTAGCCTGGCGCGGCGGGCCCTGGGCTGCAGCACCACCGTTTGGCCTGCTGTGGCAGCAGTGAGGAGCTGGGGTCTCCCAGGGCTTCGGCTCTGTTTGCTGGGAACCCGAGGCCTGGCCCAGGGCCCTGCTTCTGTGGCTGCCACAGCCCCACCAGGCCCTGCCTGACGCCACACGGGACCAGCTTCCCTCCAGGGCCAGGACTGGAGCAGGCTTGCCCCTTCCTGCCAGAGGTCAGGGCGACCAGGACTGTTGCGAAGGCGGGTGCCTTTGCACGTGGGCTCTTTGCCGTGGACGCTCCCTGCCCCTGGGGTTCTCAGCAAAGCTTTCTTTTCCCAGCTCCATTAGAACACACGCAAAGACACGTGGGTTGGCGCTGGTCTCGCGAGACGCTGTCACCAGCAGGCTATGGGTAGTTACATTTGGGGGAGTCGAGTTACACTTGGACCGCGTGGGTTGACGTGATCGAAAGCGCCAGTTGGCAGATCGTTTCCTGTGTGCACAGCTGGCCGCGCACCTGCGGAGGCCGAGGCGGCTGTGGCTGCAGGGGCGCTGGCCTGCTTTTGCACCTCGCCCCGCCTCCGCCTTTCCTTAGCTACCTCTTCTCTAAGGACAGAATTTCGCCGTGCGGCCGCCAGCTTGGAACTCAGGTGCTCCTGCCTCAGCCTCCCAAGCGGCCAGGGCTGTGGGCACCACGGGCCCGCCCGCCCTGCAGGGCTGTGAAGGCTCCTGCCTGCAGCGCGCTCCGGGCCGAGTGCCCGTGTGGAGTCGCCCTTGGTGCAGCGGGACTCAGGCCGATCTCCCGGCACTTCCTCTGTAGCCCCGGGGTGCCATTTTGTCTGTGCTGCTGCCAGCCTTGTTTCTGGTTTTAGTTTTGCTCTAGGGCATGTGCTCCAGAGACAGGCAGCGCAGGGGGTGGCCGTTCCTCTCCTCTGTTCTGCTCTGGGGGCTCTGGGCACGCGTGCTCTTCTGGCTGCCAGGTCTGGAACTCGGAACTGTACAGTCGGCCACGGGGGACCTTAGCCGCCTTGCCACTGGCTGGCCCGCTCCCGGGATTGGTAATCCCGGGTGGGAATCAGTGAGCGCTCTGTCACCTTCGGTCCAGCCCGTGGGACCAGAGGGTCTGCGGGATGGCAGCATGGGGACGGGCGTCATAACGGCTGGGCACGCACCGCGGAAACGCGCCCCCTCCTCCGAACCCCAGCCTCTCTCTCCCCACGTGAAGATCATGATTTTTCCGGAAGGGACGTGCACAAACAGGACCTGCCTCATCACCTTCAAGCCCGGTATGTAGCTCCCATCTCTGCTCCTCCGGAGGGATGAGCGTTGACGTGACCTTTTAAGATATTGAGCATCAATAATAAAATTTCTGCCTTTCTCCAAAGAATATGCTTAGACACGTTTGTAGGAAGAGTCCCGAGATGGCTTGGCTCAGGGACTGGAGTGTTTGCAGGGGAGTGAAGACCCTCCTGTGTCAGGCCTGGGTGCTCTGTGGGGTGTGGCCTTTGCGGGACTCTGACCTCTGTCCTTGGAGTCTGTCCAGGTCCCCCACTTCCCACTCACGTGCCTGGGGCTTGGTCACCTCTGCCCCCTGCCTCCGCACTGACCCTCCTGGCCCGGCTGACTCTGTACCCTCAGCCACACCCTGGCCTTCATGGCCCATCTCAGCCCTTGGCAGCCGGCCGCCTCCCTCTGAGTGGGGCTGTCACACCTCATCATCCACCTGCGTCCTCCCGGCCTCGGCTCAGCAGGGCTCCCGGCCTTGTGAGTCATACCATTCATGCCCCAGAGGTGCAGACCCCTCTTACCGGGGTATGAACCCAGGCTGCCCCCATGGCTGGCGGCCCTCAGAAGGCACAGGTGCGGGATAGGCTGACTGAGGGGCCCATAGACCTCGAGCATCCCGCCAGGCCCTCACTCTCCTGATAACCTGTCTTGGAGAAAGCCACTTGGCACCCTCAGAGCAGGGCGAAGGCCACAGGGAGGCGCTGGGGCTCCTGGAATCAGCACCACACGAGCGTGGGACTGGAGGTCCCTGAGGTGGAGGGACCTGGGGGGGGGTCTCAGCTCCCTCGTCAGCCTTGCCCACTGTGTACCCGCAGTGCAGACCCTCCCCTGCCCAGCACAAGCGCACACAGGTGCAAAGGTGTAGCGGCACCCCTTCGTGTCAGAATTGGCTGCAGACCTCCGGGGTGCACTCCGCTGCTGGGTCCACACTGCCCCAGGCCCCGAGGTGGTGGAGACACGGCCGCCTTTCCCCGGCGCCCCCAGAGGCTGGGCTCCCAGGCTCAGATCCCTGCCGCATCGGGGCCTCGCCCATGCTCTCCTGTGAGCGTCCTCTGGAGTTGGGGCGGTGCCTGGCGTCCCCAGCACCGCACGGCCATGCCCCTGTGCGGTGTCGCGCTCCCTCCACGCACCCCTGCGGTGTCAGCACCTCGGAGGCAGTGTTGCCTGTGAGTCCTCTGTCCTGAAACCAAGGTGGGGCCTCGGCACAGGTCAGGGCCAGCAGTGTACTCCCCATGGGGCGGCTTCTCCCCGGGCCTGCTCACTCGCGTGTGCTCAGATGCGTATGTCCCTCCAGGTTCCAGAAGCCCTGGGCAGCTCTGCTCGGGTACTGCTGAGCAGCAGCAATGTCACCATGACTCCTGGCGGACGCTGACCTACAGCCTGGCTGGGCCGAGCTCACCCCTCAGCCCCCGGTCACAGGCAGGGCTGTCTTTGGTGTGCCTGTGCCTGAGCAGGGCCTCATGCTCCCCTCCTGCATCCCGCCTTCCTGGCGTGCAGCCGCCCCCACCTGGCACATGACACACAGACCCGCTGCGTGTACCCTCCCCTGTGCTGCCAGCCCACACGCCTACAGGGCTGGGTGCGTGCTGGCCCGGGGCCCACAGCTCAAGGCTGGATGCAGGACAGCAGGGGCCGTCCTGCACCGGGGACTCGAGCAGGCCAGCTGGCCGCTCAGCTGCAGCCCTGACCCACGGGTCTTGGCCCACCTGGAGGTGGGAGCTTCTGGGAGCCCCTGTGCAAACGTGGGCTTCATCTTGTGGAAGCCTCAAGCCAGGACCAACCCCGGATCCTGAAGTGATGGAGAAGGATCCCGGGGGACCCTCAGGGGACATCCCCACAGAGCAGCACAGACCTGAGAGTGGGTGCTCTGTCAGCTGGGGAGGGTGCTGCCCCAGCCTCCTCGAACGTCCGCTCGGGTTTCAAACTCCAGGACCCCAACGCCCATGTTTTCCGATGAAAGAACAAGTCTTGAAGTCCCACCCAGCATCTGGGTAAGCCTGGTGCATTGGGCACTGCCGCGTGGCCGGCCACAGTTCAGCTCCCAGCTCCCGCGGCTGGAAGCCATCCCAGGTGTGTGCAGGCGTGCTCAGGGTCCTGACGGGTGGAGGCAGGGACGCCAGGACTGCAGCGTGACTGCCCGTGGAATGCATCCTCTCTCCCTGTCTCCGTCTCTGCTGGCTCTCTTCAGCAAGCTCCCACGCTCTCCAGCAGTGAAGACCAGTGTCTAAGGGAGACAGACGGAGAGGGCGCTCCCTGAGATACCTAGGCCCTTTGTCGCACCACGAGGGTGGGGCACGGCCACGGGGGCTAGGAACCCCGTGGGCCCTCAGCTGTGGCACTGATGCTGCTGGGGTGTCTCCCATTCTGCCCATGCCCACCCGCTGGCAGCCACCCAAGGACAATTGCTGCACCTGCCAAGTCTGGTCCCGTGGCGAGCCTGAAGGGCCGAGCAGAGGCAGGTGGAGACCAGGGTGGCCATGGGAGCAGACCCCTGCCCCATCAGATGGTGCACATGGGAGGCGGGGACCCCCAGGTGCCCACAGGCAGGGGCTGGGCCCCCCCCGACTGCCTTCCGGTTTGCACATGGGCCCGGCACCAGCCGGAGCTGAGCAGAGCTCCCCGGGACCTGCAGTCCATGCAGCCGTCGGGTCACCTGGGTCCCGCATGGCTGCTGCCGTGAAGGCCACGCAGCGGAGCGTGTTGGCTCCAGACCAGCACGTGAGACCCAGTAGGTGTGGCCTCCTCTGCGCCCCGTGCCCATGGTGAGTGGCTATCCCTTTCCCGCAGGTGCCTTCATCCCCGGGGTTCCCATCCAGCCTGTGGTGTTACGCTACCCGAACAAGCTGGTAAGTTCTGGGCCTGGTCAGCGGTCAGGCACACTCGCTGGGAATGAGTCCGCAAGGCTTGCTGCCTCCGCCCTTCCTCAGCACTGTCCACTCACCTGGCGGTCATGGTCGTCCCAGCACTGCGTACTGCAGGGGCTGCCAGGCACGGCCACGGGAAGCGGCCGAAGCAGCCCGTGCCCGCACACGCGGGGCTCACCGGAGCTGCCGGGCCTGTGGTCCCCACCCACGCGCTCGTGCGCAGCACCTCGCCGGTCGCCACAAGCCTGCCGGTTGGCAACTGCTCTGGCCGCAACCAGGCACCGGTACCACCAGGACCTCCCACCAGCCTCCGTCCCCTGGGTGACGTCCTCGCGCCTCCGTGGGCCGAGGCGGCAGAAGTGTGGCTCGCCTGGACATGAGGTGCCGTGGCCCTCACCCAGCACCGCGTAGGGTGCAGGGGCCTGGCGAGGCGGGCTGGCTTGACCGACCTCTCTGGCG